GGTGAAAGACCAGCTGAAAGCTTCAAATGGGCTCCCAAAGGTACACCAACTGGCTTCGTATCCATGCTAACATGGAATCGTTGTAGAACCTTCTTCAAATAAGCTACCTGTGTCAAACAAATTCTGCCCTTCTTCTTGTCTCTGCCGATCTCCATCCCTAGAATGCGCTTCGCCTCACCCAAGTCTTTCATCTCAAACTCATTTGATAGCTGAACTTTCAATTCATCTATAGCCGACATGGAAGTAGAGGCAACCAACATGTCATCGACATAAAATAACAAATAGATATACGCACCTCCTTTTAACTTGCGAAAATATACGCAAGGATCAAACTGGCTCCGAGTATACGAATGACCAATCATAAAACCATCGAATCGTCTATACCACTGTCGAGGAGACTGCTTCAAACCGTATAGCGATTTCTTCAACCTGCAAACCAACTTATCTTTCCCTGCAGCTCGGAATCCCAATGGCTGAGTCATATATATTTCTTCATCAAGATCACCATGAAAAAATGTCGTCTTCACATCCAATTGATCTAACTCCAAACCATACTGTGCCACCAAAGCTAGCAGAATCCGAATCGAATAGTGCTTCACCACCGGAGAGAAAACCTCATTATAGTCAATACCTTCCTCCTGTGCATAGCCCTTCGCAACCAACCTAGCTTTGAACCTCAATGGAGTGTCCTCAATGCCCTCCTTCTTCGTGTATACCCACTTGCAACCAATCGCCTTCCGTCCCTTTGGAAGCTCAACAAGCTCCCATGTATCGTTCTTATGAAGAGATTCCATCTCCTCCTGCATAGCCCCCTGCCACGAATCAGCCTCCGAACTCTGCTCGGCCTCTCTGAATGTAGTAGGCACCAACTCATCGATACTCTCCACCGGAAGTGCATACGCAACTGTGTCGGCATACCGTGCTGGCATCTGTATGTTTCTCCTCTGTCCCCTAGCCGCAATAGAATCCTGAACCTGAGCCGTCGGTCCCTGATCCTGCTCATGAGTACCCGTATCCTCCGCATCACCGTCGTGCTCGCCTGACGTCACCTCAGTCGGCACCTGCATGGATACTGTACCATCTGGACAATGTGGAGCTGCATCGATCTCCACCACCTGGGATATCTCCTCCGTCGGGTCGCTCTCCACCTGATGAGAGCTGGGAAGCTTCAAGATAGAAGCTTCATCAAACGTGACGTCCCTACTCAGCACAATCTTTTTATCAACTGGATCCCAAAGCTTGTATCCCTTGACACCACGCTTGAATCCTACAAATATGGCCTTCCTAGCTCGAGGTTCCAATTTATCAGTTCTAACATGATAATATGCAGGGCACCCGAATACCTTGAGCTGGTCATAGTCATGTGCTGGCTTTCCCGACCACATCTCCATAGGGGTTTTCCCCTCAATCGCAGATGAAGGCAGCCTATTAATAAGGTGTCTCGCATACGTAAGTGCCTCAGCCCAAAAGATCTTCTCCAAACCACTCTGCGACAATAAGCATCAGATCTTCTCCAGTAAAGACCGATTCAACCTCTCTGCCACCCCCATTTTGCTGTGGTGTATGACTAACCGTGAAGTATCTCTCTATGCCCTCGTCTCGACATAGCTGCTGAAAGGGGTCAGAAGTATACTCACCACCGTTGTCGGATCGCAACGTCTTGATCTTTCTCCCAGTCTGCAGTTCCAATCTCTTTTTCCACTCCACAAACAAATCTAGGACTTCACTCTTCTTCGTCATGGTGTACACCCAACATCGCCTAGAATAGTCATCTACAAAAGTAACGAACCAATGTCGACTACCAAGTGATGTAGTCTTGGTAGGACCCCAAACATTTGTGTGCACGTAGTCCAGGATGCCCCTCGTCTGATGAATGGCAGTCCCGAACTTCACCTTCATCTTCTTGCCAAGAACACAGTGCTTACAGAACTCAATCTTCCCACTCTTGGCTCCCTTCAATAGCCCTTGCTTGCACAATGCCTGTAGTGACTTTTCACCTGTGTGCCCTAACCTATAGTGTCAAAGTCTGCTCATGTCCGCTTCTGAAATAGCCGAAGCAACCTGGCCAATCTCGGTGCTTCCCTTCAGATAATATAAATTCCGATTGCGGACTCCCTTCATCACCACCAATGATCCCTTAGTAACCTTCGCTACAGCGTTTTCGAAAGTCACCTTGAATCTCTTCGCCTCCAAAGCTCCAACTGAGATAAGATTTTTCTTCAGTTGAGGAACAAATCTTCAGCTCACGGACTACTCCATCGTGCATCCGAATCCTCACAGTACCTATCCCACGAACGCCACAGGATTGATCATTTCCCATGACCACAACACCCCCATCGAGTCTCTCAAATGATGAGAACCAATCTCGCCTAGGAGTCACATGATAAGTAGCGCCAGAATCAAGCATCCACTCCGATGCATCCAAATGGTTCACCTCTGGAGTAATCAAAAGAGAAAAGCTCGAATCATCGAAATCATCGCCTTTTGCAACATTCACCTCATTGGCCTTCGGGCCCTTATTCTTGCTATTCTCCTTTTCTTTGACTTTCAGGCAGTCTCTCTTTCAATGTCCCTGCTCTTTGCAGAATGCACATTGGTTCTTTCCAAGCTGGTGACGACCTCTTGACTTTGACCACACTCTATTTCCACCTTTCTGATATGAGCTTCTACCTCTCGTCGACAAGGCCTCGCCTGAAGTGCTAGCACGGGAAGTCTCCTTGTCCTTCCTCCTCAAATCGTAATTGGTCAATGCGTTAGTCACTTCACTATAGCTGATAGAAGATTTCCCGTTCAACAAAGTGAGCACGAAGGTATCATACTCCTCATCGGGTAAAGAGCCCAACAAAATAATCGTCTTGTACTCATCTGATATATTCTCATCAACATTTGCCAAGTCCGACAACAACTTAGTGTAGTTGTTCACATGAGCCGCTAGCGATGTGCCTCTGGACATCTGAAATCTGAAGAGTCTTCGCAGCAAGTGCAACCTGTTCTCAACACTCTTTGTGAGATACTTGTTGTTGAGAATTTCCCACATCTTCATTGCAGACGTCACCCCAGTCACATCATATTTCAGCTCATGTTCCAAACAGGACCTGATCACCCCACAAGCGCTCCTATTCATTTTCTCCCATACCGCCTCATCATATTTAGGTGGTCTCTCGTGGACCATGATGGTCTCCTCCAAATTTTGAGCATTGAGCACATCCTGTACGTCGCTCATCCACAAACCAAAGTTGATTTTGCCGTCATATTTCACCACGCTAATCTTAGTGTTCTGAAAACCAACTTGTACTGTACTCGCCATCGATTTGCTGCTTTCACCTACTTCTTCACCCATAATCACAAATTCCAAATTGTAGAGAAAGATCCAAACTTTGAAAAGAATAAGAAATTTGATAAGTTTGAACTTATTAGTAACATAAAGCAAGAGCTATAACATGTATGAATAGAAAGATACAGAAACCACATAAAAACTCAATTGTCCTGTTCTCCTCCAAAGTACTTTTTCTCTGTGATCAGCGTAGTTGTTTCCACGCAATTACACAATAATTATAGTGAAGCATGTTGCGCGCAGCGGAAATTTCGGCAGCACTTCGGCAGCACAACAAGAGAGTCAGGTCGCAATAAGAATTCTTGTTTCTCAAAGGGAACAAGAATCTGAAGCCTATATCCTATCAAAGTAGGATATTAGCTCTTCCTCTCGTCAGCTCTAGGACTGCGCGTCGAGGGAACCTAAAAGCTATTACAAATCACACAAATAGCAGTACAAACAATTTTTACGTGGTTCGGCAAATTGCCTACGTCCACGGGGCAAGGAGGGGGGAGATCTACTAATAGAGTGAGAGAAAACAACTAGGGTTTATAATCACTCAATTTAAACCCTCACACAAACTCTCAAATCCCTCACACAAATATCTCTCAAAGGGGATGCACAAACTCTCAAATCCCTCACACAAATATCTCTCAAAGGGGATGCACAAACTCTAAACAAAAGAAAAAAAACTCTGTTTTTCTTCACTTGAGTTTTTCTCCTGCTGCGATTTTATCTCGCAGCCGCCAAACACACCCAGCCGTCTGCTTTTTCGCACCAAGCCGCAAAAATCAAAAACCCTCCTTCGCTAGCAATTAACCTAGGGAATCACGACTATTTATTTGGGGAATCACTGAAGTTCGGGTGGGCCTGGCTATCGGGTGTGGGCAGCTGCTGCTTCACGAGATTTTCACAAATCTCTTCACGTAAATGCTTTGCTTGGGGGCCCCACAATCACGTGTTCACAGAGTTTATCATATACAGAGTATAGTTTTTTTCTTGTTCGTCAATTGTAATCCTACGGGTTAATCCAACTTTAATTTCGTTGTTGTACCTGCTGCTTGTATCTACTAAGGTTATTTTCTAATTATAAACTGAGAAGTCTGCGTTTGGGTTGTCTATACGTCGGAAAATATGATATGGTAAACTTAACAAGTCTCTTTACTATTTGAGTATGGTTCACATTTCGAATATATGTTCTTGAAGCGAAACAAAATATCCAGTTGTTTATGTTTACTAAATAACTAGTATTTAGACCCGTGCAAAACACGGTTTCTAAAAGATTTTACGCAGGTATTGAACATGTTGCCAAAATAAAGTATTCTGCTTTAGATATGTAGTATAGTGGTGGAAGTGAACCGCATAATTAATAAACAGTTTGGTTAATATTCGTCTAGATATTCGATCAAGTTTGATTTTCGATAGCTCATTTAGTACTAAACAAATAATTTTCAGTGTTTGGCTTATAAATGAATGGGATTTAACCAAAGTCATGTTCGATTTAGTAGTTCATTAACTACTCAATTCGATAACTTTTTAACAGAATTTAACCAAATGTATGTTCGATAGTTCATTAACTATTCGATTCGGCAGTGCTGTTAATTGAGCTTATTGCAAATGTTACTTATATAAATTTTTATTTACAAATGCTACCTCATATAAATAGGTAAGATTGGGTTCTAGGCTAGGGTTTTCACTTTTCACCTTTGCTTCTATCGGCCTCCTCCTTCGGATCCGACTCCGAGTTGATTCCAGGGCTTGTAGCTGGTGGTTCACTCCTCCCTCGGAGCTCGTCGTCCCTCGAATCTCGTCGCCGACTCCTCCCTCTCAAGTCATCAAAATGTAAGTTGGAAGCTTAAAGTTACCACCATTATTCTTGATTTTTAATTTATACTGATCGCTAAAGATCACTTCTTTATGCCTTCTACAGATAATTCTGCACGAGATCTGATCTCATCCCCTGCGGATCTGTAATTTCAACCAGCTCCGTTCAATTGTCAGAGGTGAACTCTCATCTTTCTTTACTACCTAATAATCCGGCTCAATGTTTTTTCTCTGATGGTCATTTGATCTGCTCGACCTTAGAAATAGGAGCTTAAGTGACTGGGCAGTTAGGCAGGTGACATGAATCATTGTTGTGCTAGTAGTATCTTTAGAAGAGAACTCGAGAGAAGTTGCGCGCTTTGTTTGATAAGCAAAGCTACGACTTTGCCCACAAAAAATATCACATAGATGAATGTGGGCAGTTGGGTATGCTTCAACTGATAATATTCCTTAAGAAAGTAATCATATAAGCTGAAGGTACAATCTAAGTAAGCATTGGGATCTCTTTTTTGAAAGATGTATCACCAAAGAAGAAGCACCTGAAAGGGAAAGGAGAAATCTCAACGACAAAGAAACAGATGGGACTAAATGAAAATGGAAGAGACATTTATGAATTACTTGCTAAAGATGCCAACCCTGTAAAAATAAACTCGACTAATGAAGATCAGCTTCCACATGAAATCCATAAATTATGTCCTATGATTAAAAAAAAAGAACTTATAACCAGAGACAATGTCATTTGGGAAAGATTTGGAGCAAAAAACTCTTTGGAACTTGATGTTTAAGTATCCATTGTTAGAGTCCACTCTGTTAAAATTGATCAACATCATTTAATGTTAAAAATCACTCATGACCTATGATTTTATGATATGAAATCAAGATATTTGGGTCTTGATTCAGTGTGAAATTTAGTATTTTTATTCTGTTTTGATTTTTAAGCAATTGAAAACGATTTTTTTCATAACATGATGCATGCTGATTTATGTACTATTTGAGTGGAATTCGAAAAGTAATGTGATACTAACCTACTGGGTAAGTTGGTAACTTGGTAATTGCTATATTGTTGTAGATTCCAAATATATTGATTTTTGAATAATTGGCGAATAGATATCGTATAGTTGATGAATAACTTGATATCAAAACCATGAAATATTGTTAATCGAATGTTCGCGAATAGCTACCGAACATGTACACAACTAAACGAAGCGAATTCGAATTCTGAATATTATTCGAGTCGAATTCGAACACAAATACGAATAGTACTATTTGAGCTGAATTTGAATTCGAATAAGTCACTATTTGATCAGATTCGATTCGTTTCCACACCAAACGGCGGATCGATCACTGGGGAAAAGCTCAGGTACTCACTCTCTCTAATCAAACCCATATTTTTTTAATCCAAAACCAAAAATTATGTAACAATATTACAGTTAAGGTTTGGGATTAGCGGCACATCTCCTGTAATTTCTTCCTCTTTTGTTTTCCAAACACATTCACTGTTTGAGTGCATCTATCTTTGATACAATCAAAAGAAAAAGCAGATCTTTATTTCACAATATAGCTTTGATTCTTGTTTTGCAGGCTGTAGAAAATGTTTGCAGGTTTTCGAAGAAAAGGGTTGGCTGGTATGTGCTTTGTTCACAGCTTTAGTTTCACTGCCTTTAATTTCACTAAATGTATATCACATGTGTTCATATAGTTGGCCCCAAAAATTTGGGATAAAAGGTTTTATTCTTGTTTTTGATGTAGAAGCTAGATACTCAACATCTAACACCTCTAACTTGCACTTCTCTGTTGCATTGTTTAGACCTTTGACCTCACTGAATGGGTCTTTCTCGCATCCTTTTTGTAATAAATAGCGCCTTTATGGTTGATCGATCCATCAATGAAGTTATTTTTTAGATTCCTGAATTATTTTCTTGATTTGTGGATAAAGTTATTGTTTGTATTTGTGTAATTCTTTTTATAAATATACTGCTATGCCTTGTATGGTGTGCGGGAATGAGTCGGAATGGCATGCCAATTCCAACCTCTCATTCAACACGACGTGTTTTTAGAAGTCAGAAATCTCATTCCCACTTCTCATCAATTTTTATTTTATGTGGGAATGAACCACTCCCAATGAGTTGGTGGTAAGTAAGGGGCATTCCCACTTAAGTGGAAATCAAAAAATTAAATTAACTTCCAAATATGTCATGATTGCTAATTAATTACCCGTACCAATCTTTTTTCATTCACGCTTCATCCTTTATTCACTTCCAAACATGAGAATGGGAATGAGCACTAGAGAGATGAGCCACTTCTCTAGAAAAATCAACTTCACTATCCGATGACGAAGAGGAGTTATCACTAGATTCTTTGAGAGCTATGGTCTTCAACTTTGGTGATGGCTCCTCAACTTCCCGTGATGGCACTTCCTCCTTTTCCTTCCCCTTGAGCTTCTTCTCATGGACCTTTAATTTCACTAAATGTATATCACATGTGTTCATATAGTTGGCCCCAAAAATTTGGGATAAAAGGTTTTATTCTTGTTTTTGATGTAGAAGCTAGATACTCAACATCTAACACCTCTAACTTGCACTTCTCTGTTGCATTGTTTAGACCTTTGACCTCACTGAATGGGTCTTTCTCGCATCCTTTTTGTAATAAATAGCGCCTTTATGGTTGATCGATCCATCAATGAAGTTATTTTTTAGATTCCTGAATTATTTTCTTGATTTGTGGATAAAGTTATTGTTTGTATTTGTGTAATTCTTTTTATAAATATACTGCTATGCCTTGTATGGTGTGCGGGAATGAGTCGGAATGGCATGCCAATTCCAACCTCTCATTCAACACGACGTGTTTTTAGAAGTCAGAAATCTCATTCCCACTTCTCATCAATTTTTATTTTATGTGGGAATGAACCACTCCCAATGAGTTGGTGGTAAGTAAGGGGCATTCCCACTTAAGTGGAAATCAAAAAATTAAATTAACTTCCAAATATGTCATGATTGCTAATTAATTACCCGTACCAATCTTTTTTCATTCACGCTTCATCCTTTATTCACTTCCAAACATGAGAATGGGAATGAGCATTCCATTGCTATATTTATTCTATTTCACTCCTTACTACATTCCATTCTCATTAGAATGGGAATGAGCATTCCATTGCTATATTTATTCTATTTCACTCCTTACTACATTCCATTCTCATTTGACTCGTTTCCGGTGTCACAAACGAGGTGCTAAATTGTAACTGTTGCAAACTATGTATGATATTACTGTTTGGTTGCATGCGGACATGTAATGATGTAATACATGGTTCTGTATAGTCTAGCCTTGATAAGTTTTTTAAAAATAATTCTTAAGTTTCTTCTTATAGTAGTTTCCACATTTCTTCCTATTTCATGTGATCACCACTTATATCTCTGTTGTTTAAGGATTATGGTTCTTTGTTCTATGTGTTGACATTCTGCAATGTTTCGTTTTTCTACAAGTCTGGGAGAGTTAATAATTAGAATTTCATTTACTTGTGAAAATAGTTGGTCGCTCGTTAATGGGAGGCCTCAGCAACAATATGTTGGGAGCAATCACAACTCCTCTTGAGATTTCGTCCAGGCTGAGTGAGAGCAACCTTTTCCTACAGGTTTGCTTCTGCTTCTTAAATTCTTATGTTTGTATTTACATGGCTGGTACTGCATCTCCTTTTGAGTTTTCCACTTTTATCTCTAGCTTTCATATCCTCTTTCTAGTAAATTTCAACTTGTTTATATGATTTTCTCGGGTATTCACTATGTTTGGTTTTTGTCAGTTATATGCTTCAGTGAGCTGACTGGCTGCTACTTTGTCTGAAATATGCGACATAAATCCATAACTAATTGTCCTTCCTTTGTATCTATTAGAATATCAGAGATGTTATAACTTGTTTAGGTAAATAATGTTTAAATAAGTTTATAAAAGAATCTGAGTTGTATGGAAAATCTAAATTGAAGAAATAGTATCACCCTTTAGTTCTCTGTCTGTTTCTGAGAAGAATCAAATAACAACTATAGCTAACAAAAAGGTTTTCATGCAATGGTTACATCTGATGCTTCAGGTCTGCTATGTCTCTTGATATTTTTCTTTCCTGTGAACCAAAATGGTAACACATTTTTTCCACAATAGGAAGGAATTATCTATTACCTGTTTCTTTGTTTAGTTCGCGCTCGCTCATATCTGAAATGGTAATGTTTGTGTTTATCCATAATCCCACTAGCTGACAAGCTTATGGTTGCTTTAGTATGATAATTGGCTTATGAACTTCGATAAACCATAAACAATAAGCTCCATGTAGTGTAGATTGTATTGCCTTGTGGATGTATATCAGTTTTCAGGATTCATCATAAGCTTTCAACTCTGTTTATTTGTCGGTTCTCTCAAATCCATAATCCCACTAGGGTGTAGTGTATCTGCTATGTGCTCAGCCAACTCTATTTATTTTCCTTGGGGACGTATCACCAGTTATATGCCCATGTAATTTGTCACAGAAAAACTTGAATTCCTTTTCTGATATGGGAAGTGCATTCATTCTTAATTGCAGATACACTTCCTATACACTACACTGTGTGGGGTATAGCCACTTATAACCCCGTAAACTATTTTCTTAGCAGGTAAGCCTTCCAAATATCAGACAGTGTTTTTCTACCCTCAATGTAGAGAGCAATTTAGTCTTTTTCCAGTAAAACTGAAGGGAAAAGCGTTACTTTATCTTCAGGTAATTCCCACGTTGCATCTCAACCTAGCAAAATAAATAGTATCGTCTGACGTTCGGGGGTTATAGGGGCGAACAAATTAATTTAGGGGGTATAAGTGGCTACACCTCAATAGTGCATTGTTGTATCTGCAATTTACCAGAGCAGTAACGCGGCCTTCAATACTAAAAATGTAATGAAGCACACGGAACACACGAGTTGCATGTTGCGTGATTGAAGTACTAAAACTTTAAAAAACCTGTTTGTTACATTTTGTGCAGCAACACAGGACCTTCATTCAGATGAGGACGCGTGGTAAGGTAAAGAGTGGAGAGGTTCACTACGCCGTGGTGGTTCGTGCGGCAATGCAGAGAGGACGATGTGATGGCAGCGAGATCAAGTTTGATGACAATGCAGTGGTTCTTGTTAACAAGCAGGGAGAGCCTATTGGGACCCGAGTTTTTGGGCCTGTGCCTCATGAACTCAGGAAGAAGAAGCATGTCAAGATTCTAACTTTGGCCGAGCACATCGCTTGAAACTTGTATTTTCGGAGTTTTCCTATAGTTGCCCAGTCAAGGATAAGTTTTTCTTCAGAAGCCTAGATTGTGCCTTTTGTTCAGGCTGTCATTATCTTTTTGCTTTGTTCCATCTCTGTTGTGGTTAATAATAGTTCGAGTTTACTTTCTTTAGTTGCCAGGACACTCCTAATAACATTTCCATGACGATTACTAAAAGGTCCTAAAGTGTCCATTTCTCTAACTTAGGATATTAAAGTGCTATTTTTTTCAAACTTAAGAGTATTTAAGTATGAAGGTGATAATAATAGGGTATCTAAGTGATATATTTAGCCAAGTGCTATTGTTTACACTCAGATTTTGGGCGTTACGCATTTCGGTCGAAACTAGAACAGTGTGCTATTGGATAAAGGGGATTGACTATTGGCTGGACCTAACCTAAATCCTAATTGGGCTATTAATGGAACCACGCTCACGAGCAAACGTGGGTCAGAGGACCAGCCTAAATAAGGCGTGTGCGCGAGTGGATAGTTGAACCCTG